CCCCAAAACCGCAAAACCCCAAAACCCCAAAACCCCAAAACCCCAAAACCCCATAAAGAAGTTTTTAAGTTTCATGCATGATTTGAATTTTAAATCCACAATTTTCAAATTACGTAACTAATACTCTTGATATCACATAATCAAATAACGTGGCTTGATTCATATAATAAATAAATTTAAATGATAAGCATAAGAACCGCTACCCTAGCTGCACTATTTTCTCTAACCCTGGCTCAAAACAGCACAGTTAACACAGTCTATAATCTCTAACTGAAAACAGGTTCAGAGCCACTTTTGCAATTAGACTACTCTATTGACAATTCTACTACCCCAATAAGACTTAACCAAACTTTGAGAATCACTGGCTTTAATACATCAGCTTGGAACACTGGTACTGGTAACGGAATGTACGTTGGTATTGGATACGGATGTGATGAGATGGAGAACTGTGATATGATTATTTGCTCATACATGGTCACTGGAAATTTTGGTGCTGCTACTGATAAATTCTCATGTTCAGACTACAAGACTGATCCTAACAAAACACCGGTTTAAGATTAGGGACAAGATATTTACAATGTATCTACTCTCTCAACTGCTGCGACCAAGACTGCAACTGTTGCATTCACTAAGAATAATTTTGCTGTTAGATTTGTCAGACCATTCACCACCAGCAATTCAAACGAAGACTACCAACTTGGAAAATAGAATACTCCAATCATTTTTGCTATGGGATACTACGCTAGTAACACACCAATCTAGCACACAGCAGGCATGTACGGTCTTAGCAAACTTGATCTTACCATGGCTCCAATTGCAGGAAGCGCTTTCCAAGGAATGAAATTAGCTCTTGGATTGATCGCTACTGTTGTTCTTTCTCTCAATTTCTTCTGAGAATAATTGGTCTTTCAAACTAAAAACTTTCTAAGTATAAGTTTTAAAATAGAAATACTTTTAACACAAATAACTTAAAAATATCTTAGTGTTTTTTATGGAATTATTAACATCATTTATTTCATCTCTCTATATAAATCTCAAATTCTCTGATTATTATATAAACATGCCTTATGGGGTTTTGGGGTTTTGGGGTTTTGGGG